CAAATGCGTTGGCAACATCCCAGAGTCATACTGAGTCAGAATCATTATGGGCCGGCTGGGGTAAGGCCTGCCATCTGCAATTAGAATTGTTAATTATTAATTACTACACAGGTAATGGGAATCCCCTTCTTGAATTTTAAACTGTCATGTGAATAAACCAAAGACTCTTAAGTTTGAAGAGTACAATGAAGTTTTAGAGCAGATAATCCAATTTATTTCAGTTAATTACTTTGTACTTTTTTTCAGGTTGGCAATATTTACTGTGCACCTGCGATACAGTAGGTACCGCTCGGGTGTGGGCATATAGGAGTGACTGGTCATGTAATTTAATCACAGGTAGATCTTCTGGTCATACTTTCTTATTTTATGTATGATGATACGAAGGAAAATTCTTATTATAAAGGAATTTTAGGACAAAAATGGTTTATCAAGGTCTATTTTAAGGCCTTTAAACAGACTCTGGACTTTTTCCTTTAAAATATACACATACTATAACTTGTAAGACATATTATATTGAAACTTTTATTTTTGGTCATACTTGGGGTTGAATCTAAGGCCTTTAGTGTGTAGGCAAGCACTTTTCTACTGGGCTACATCCCCAGCCTCTCATTTTAAACTTGTATGACAACTAATCTTATTGGCAGTTTGAGTAGATACCTACTCTTTAGTGTGAATATGCTCTCCTAGGGGCTGTCATTTTAAATAGTGTAGAATTATGCAGTCACCACCAGATGTCAGAATGTGCTTACATATTGTCATCCTACTTTTTGGGCCAATGTGTGTCATTAAGCAAATTCTGAATTCTGTCATGTTGAGTTTCTATTGGCATAGGGGTAGCATTATAAATATTTCCATTGTACAAAAAATTAGCTGGCAGTGGTTTAGATGTATACATAGGTAATTGTTCTTTTATTTCTAAACCTCTATTAAGTTACTGTTTTATCATAATTAACCCATATCTTCTGAAATTAACATAAAAAGATCTCTGAAATATAAGGGAATAGGACTGGGCGTGGTGCCCCATACTTGTAATACCAGTTACGTGGGAAGCTAAAATAGGAGGATTACAAGTTTCAGGTCATCTTGGGTAACTCAGTGATATCCTGTCTCAATTTTTTTAAAAAGGGGCTAGAAATGTAGCTCAGTGTGAGACCCTCCAGGTCAGTTACCAATACTGCCAAACAAACAAACAAATGAATAAAGTCTTGTAAGTATCAAGAATATTACATGTATTACACAGCCTCAAAAGAACTTCCATTACCAGGGACCAAACTCAGGACCTTGCTCCAGGCAGCCTCGGTGCTACTGAACTATATCCCCAGCCCATCAAAAGAACTTTTAAAAATTGTATGGATTTTATTTTCCAAAGTCCGATAGATTGGTGTGGGGTGGGGGTTGAAAAATCACTAAGTATCATGATAGTTGTTTGGGGCGGGAGACATTCCTGAGAAAAGAGAGTGGTACACATAAAGGCAGCAAAAAGTGGTTCAGGGCTGGGGATTTAGCTCAGTGGTTCCGCCACCTGCCTCACAAGCGCAAGGTCCTGAGTTCAATCCCGGGTACCAAGAGAAAAAAAAAAAAAGTGGTTGAAAAGCATTAGCTTTAGGGACTTCCACTTGGACCTTATCTCTCCACCAGAACAGTCCAGTGGCATCACAAGCTTTGAATACCACAGACAGTCTGTGGAGCTGGGTGGTTATTTTGGAAATACTGAAAGTATTTTTATTTGAGGGAAAGTTTGTTTTGTTTTTAATATAAGACTCATCAAAAGAGAAAGTCAAGGTCAAAGATAGAAAAACATAAAGTATGATCCAAAGGGCATTTGCTGGAAAAAAGAGAAAAGGCGCAATTAGGGTTATGAGCTGGGTAAATACAAAAGTAGGAGCCAGCATTCTAGATTTTCAGGATTTGGGCTTTAACTAGGAATGGAATGCTCCTTTGTTGCGTGTTAACTGTTTGATAAGTTTCTAAAGCTAAAGAGTAAGGGAAATGGAGACCTTGAAAGGTTTGAATGACTAAGCTGAAGTCTCTCACTAGCACCTGATATTCTGTGGGCTTAAGAGAATAGCATAGCATACTAGTTACCCATTGGTGCATAACACATTATCTCAAAATGTAGATTAAAACAATAATATATATTATCTCAGAGTTTTTATGAGGTAAAAATATGACAGAGCTTACTGTGTCCTCTCTCTTACGGTCCCTTCCAAGGCTTTGATGACAGGGTCAGCCAAGGTTATAGTCACCTCAGTCATGACAGGGGCTTCCCTTCCAGCTTTCACATGGCTGCCAGTGGGATTCAGTTATTTGTGGGCTATGACCTGAGGGTCTCAGCTGCTGGCTGTTGGCCAGAGACTACCCTTATTCCTTGTCTATGGCCCTTCCCATAGGATAGCTAATAAAATAAGTAGCAACTGCTTCCTCAGAGTGAGCAAGCCAGAGAGACTTGGAGTGAGAGCAAGAGGAAGATTGCCATGGTCTCCTATGACCTGACCCTAGGCATCACATCACATTTACTGTGTTCTGTTGTTAGAAGCCAGAAAAAAGGTCCAACTCCCACTCAGGTGAGAATTAGATGAGAGCATGGAGCCAAGAGATGTGGGGGTCATGGGGACTGTCTTAGGAGCCACCTACTACATACATGACTGATATTTCTTCTGATTAGTAGGGCCTTAAATATTTTTAATATACCTACTTTCAAAATTTTTGTCAAAATTGAAGCTAAAATTTATATTAACTTTTGACACTGATGTTCTTCACAACCAAGAGACAGACAGACAGCTATACATGAATATATATATGCAACATATCACAAACTGCAAATCCCATAAGGATGATGATAGTGTTTGAAATTTTTTTACAATTAACCTTTTTTTTAGTACTCAACATAGTACTGGGAGCTCATTAAGTATTTGTTGGATTAAAAGATTTATAAAGTAGCCAAATTATTTTAAAAACTAGCCCTCTTTTTCTTTAAAAGGATCAATAGGATTAGCAGATAAGAGAAAATACAAAAGCTGATACAAACAATCTCCTACTCTAAAGAATTATAGTAGGCCTCTGTGCTTATGTCTTTGCTACATGTACTATTAGACCCTCAGAGGAAAAGGGCAGAGTTATGAACTTGGCCTGCTCCTTTCTAATACCATTGCTGCTTTTTAAAAAAAATTTTATTGGTACATTTAAGGTATACAATATAATGACATTCATCATTGGAAATTTGCACCTTTATATTATCCATCTTGATTCTTATTTTTCCCCATTCCCCTGCCCTCCCTTCAACCCCTCCACCCCTCCCTATCTACAAAGGCTTTGTTTCCATTTTTTTCTTTTTCTCATATTAATTCCATTCCCTTCTTTCTTTTCCCCTACCCCTCCCACTTTCCCCTCCCCATTGCACCTTTTCTTCCTATTTCACATAGATAATATAAATACCATTGCTTCTTTACCCCATTCTCTGACCACTTGGTTACACTGAGAGGAAATCAGTATTTTCTGCCCCATTCATCTTTTACAGTGTCCCTGCCACCCCAGGTTCCTACTTTTCAGACCTCAATGTTACCTTTCAAGTCTTTGTCTATTACTTATTTTGTGCTAAATGAATCACCTTTGATCTCCTTCCCTTCCTGTTTCTACTATAATCTCAGTTTTACTGCCTTATAGAAGAAGGCAGCAGTCTCCCCAAGGCATGCCCTCTCTAGAGCTTGCTGAATCTTCCTTAAACCCTGATTTTGGTGTGTTTCCCCCTATGTAAAACTCCAGTAATAAAGTGTCACTCTATAACTTGATACTCAGGCTTTATCCTGTTCTGTTTGATGACTTCATCTTTCTTTGGCCTAAGTACCCCACATTTTCACCTTCCTACCTTTTCACCTTATGCTCTCTTTTTTCGGTGGTTCAGTTCTTACATTTGTTCCTCTTTGTTGAGGGTAGATCAAGGTTTTATGAGTTCAGATATTTAATCTTTGTATTACTACCACTATGATGAGATACCCAGAGAAATTAACTTATAAAGAAAAATGGGGATGCTTTTTTGTTGTTGTTGTTGTTGTTGTTGTTGTTGTTGTTTTTTGTTCATGATTTTTTTTAGGTCCAAGATTGAGTGGCCCCATAGCTTTGAGAGTCTGACAGGATAACACATCAAGGCAGGAGTGTGTTGTAGAGGAAATGGCTCACTATATCGGGCAGGAATCAAAAAGAGAGAAAGGAATTGGGCTTAGTAACAGGGGCCTATAATCCCAGCAATCTGGAGGCTGAGGCAGGAGGCTTCCAAGTTTGAGACCTACCTGGACTACTTAGCGAGTTCAAGTCGAGCCCAGTCCTTGTGGCCTAATTACCTATTAAGGGCTTCACCTTCCAAAACCTTTATATTGGCAATTAAATTTCAACATGCATTTGGAGAGGACAAACATTTAAACCACAGTAGGCTCTTAAGCTCAAGCTTCCTTGATTTCCCAGGAATCAGCCACAGCCCTGCCATTTTACTGTGCTTCAGCCAAAGGTTAAGGTGTGCATTCTTCAGGAAGCCTTCCCTGCTAGCCTGATGCCCGTGAGGATTCTGTCTTATACCACTTTATAGTCGCAGAGTCTTACATTTTAAATTTAGTGATTACTCATTGCTTATTTAGTGACTGCTTATTTCTTAAAATATTATAAAAGTAATTACATGTAGTTCAAAACTTACTGTAATTTTTTTAAACATGGTATTTCTGAGATGCTAAACAGCTCTTTGAATGTAAGGTAAGTTTCAAATACTATGTAAGATTTTACGTATATTTGAAACGTCTTGTTCAAAATTGTATGTTCTATAAATGACATGTCTGTTTCTAGAGGTCAGCGTTTAGATGTCCAATACATATAAAAATTTTTATAGAATACAAAAGTCTTCCAGTAATTGATAATGCTGAGAGTTATTTATTTATGCTATTACTCTTTACATTTTGCATTTGCTTGCAAGAGTCGCGGATGTTATTTCCCCCGGGCCTGCTTTGCCGTTTCAGGACTCATGCAGGAGGGCCTGTTCAGGGTGAACGGCAGCGTGCAGGCGGTGGAGCAGCTGCAGCGGAGGCTGGAGAGCGGGTCGCGCGCAGAGCTCGGGCCCGGAGACGTGCACACTGCTGCTGGCCTGCTGAAGCGCTTTCTGCGAGAGCTGCCAGGCGGCCTGGTCCCCGCAGCGCTGTGGCCTCGCCTGCTCCAGCTCTGTCGGGGTCAGTACAGCTCATCCTCTTGGGACTTAGTATGGTCTTAGTTTTCGGCAAGGCTGTGCTTTCATATATTTAAAATGTAAATATTGAAACAAGATTTTGAATATTTGTGATCTTTTCCACAATGATCACCTTGGTATTTCATGCCAGCTCCATTTCTACCTAAAATAATACTAAACTGATAATGAAATGCCATTTTTAAAAGAAATTTCTGATACCATTGGCAAATGAATGTTTGAGTCATATAGTACCTAAAAGCCTTGATGCTTGTGGGTCAAAGAAATTCTTTTCTCTCTGGTTACTGCCATAGGAGGAATGAGGGCAAAAATGTTCTGTTTGCAAAATATTAATCGCTTAAATGGTAGCTGGTGTGTGACCTTTGAGACTGGAAGCTCACTCCTGTGCTTGCTTTTTCTCATAAGCAGGAGTGAGTCCAAAAATAACTGTAGTCATTTTGTGAGACAGAGAATGATTTTTGATTGTAGTATAAAGTGATTTTAAATGAAGGAACTGTTTTTAAGTGATAACTATAGACATGGTCACTATCAAGTTCTTCCCCCTAAAAACAGTAAGAAAAATGATTTGCCCTTGCAAAGCTATTCCTTTTCTTTCTTTTTTTATTTTTTGTTCTTTTGCTGCTGTTGTTGTTTGTTTTGTTTTGTTCTGTTTTGTTTTGAGACAGAGTCTCACTGAATTGCCCAGACTGGCCTTAAACTTGCCATCTTCCTGCCTCAGCCTCCCGAGTAGCTGGGATCACAGGCATGCGGCACCATTCCTGACTCCTTCCTAAAAAAAAGAAGACCAGATAGGAGGTGTAAGAAAGAGCCAGAAATATTTTATCCCAAAGAAGATAATTTTCAAATATTAGGTTCAGCAGTTTAGATAAGTGTCCCCCAAAGTTCCATATGTGAATGCTTCATGCCCAGGGCAGCAGTATTGGGAGGTGCTGTGGACCTTGAAGAGGTGAGACCTATGGGAGGTCCTTAGGCATTGTGAGTGTGACTTCAAGAGGACTGTGAAAAGTCTCTTCTATTGCCACTCTCTCTCTGCCCAGCCTCTACCCCTTCTCTCTCTCTGCTTTCTGGCTAAAGATGAGTGCTCTCTCTGGCACTCAGTCCCATCATGATGTACTGCCCTTACTATAGGCACAGATCCGTGGGGCTTGAACCTCCCAACTCTGCGAGAAAATAAGTTTCTTTTTCTTCATAAGTAGCCTATGCTGGGTATATCTTTCTAGTGATGGAAAGTTGCCTAGTGCATTGGGTAAAACCAGCTGGCGAGACTCTTGACAGACTTCATTAACTACCCCACCTAGCCATCCACCACTGAGAGAGATGAATCTCTCACTCTTAATCATAATTTTCAACTTGACTTGATTAAGAAATGTCTGGCATATTAGTCAGGCACACTTTTGGGTGTGAATAGGTGGGTCACAGAGTCGTGACCTTGTATACTGTATCTGGTCCTGGTTACTTCCTCCATGCCATTGTTCCTCCACTCTGCTTCCTAGCCACCATGACCTAAGCAGCTTTGCTCTGCCATACCTGTTCTTGCCCTGGGGCCTGAATAGACTGAATCCTCTGAAACTATGAGCCTAATAAATCTCTCCTCCTTTAGGTTGTGGGTGTTAGTTATTTTGTCCAGTAACAGGAAAGCTGACTAATACATTCCCCAAGACCCTAAAGTCAGTGATACCTGCTCACCTGGCCCATTTTCCATCCTCCTCACCCCTTGGCTCCCAGTGGTGACTTCCAGGCAGTCCACATAGATTACCTGTGTCTTGTTCCCCTTCAGATTTCCCATCTGGTCCACAGGAAACATTTGCTTATCTTTGCCAAGTCCTTAGAATTTGGTTCAGTTCCAGGGAAGAGCCCTGACTATGTGCTGCCACCCAAGGGTGCCCTAGCTAGCTTCTTTGGATAAGACACTTTCAGATAGCTTAGACTGTTTCAGTTTTAGACTGTTCAAACTCCCCAGACACCAGGGTGTTCTGTTCTGATGCCCCCTCACTTGGCTGGGGAAAGGTATAGGAAGCACTAAATCTAACAATTCTGCCTTTAAAGAAATCCCCACTCTCTAATCTTTAACTTCAGCTTTTAAGTTTCAAGTTTCTCTTCAAATATCCTTGAAGTAGATGATGGCTCAAGGCTCACCAGACCTGTTTTTGATCTCACCATGACAAATAAACCTGGTTTCCTGATGTTCTTTTTTCTTTTTATGAGGACACCCATCCTGCCAGATTAGGACCCCACTCCTAGGACCTCATTTAACTTTAATACCTCTCTAAAGGCTCTAAATTTGGTCACATTCCTGGGTGCTGGGGGTGAAGCTGGGGAGGAGGGATTCAGTCCATAGCAATGATACAACAGAAATGATCTCAGAAGGCTTGCCTACTTTTTCAATTATTATTACTTGTAATCTTACTTAGCCATTTCATTTTTCAAAATGTGGCTAATTTTTCAAAAGGTACCATATTTTTCTTTTTAGTTTTTTGAGGAGCCTCCATTCTGATTTTCATCATAGTTGAATTTGTTTACCTTATATCACTTCTGGGTGTATCCTCCCCCAAAATAAAAATAATATACGCAATGCACAGACACTAAGCATGAATGGATAAATGAGATGTATACATGTACATATATTATTACCAAGCCATAAAGAAGAATAAAATCATTTGGAGAAAAATGGATGGAACTGAAGATCTTCACGTTAAGCAAAATAAGCCAGACTCAGAAAGTTAAATATTGTATTTTTTCTGTTGTATGAGACACCAAATAAATGAAATGAAGGAGAGATGGCAGGAAACTAGAAAGTAGACTTTTGGAGAGAGGAAAGAGGATGGGAGGAGGGGAAGAAGGAGAGGGGGATGGAAGGGGTTAATAGGATTGAAAATTTGTTATATGCATGTAACAATTTCCCCAAACAAACCCCAGTATACTGCATTACTAATATGCACTAAAAAAGCATGATATAATAATCACAGACAAAATTACTACATATTATGTTTTATTCTATTGAAAATAACAAAATATGAAAGCAAAAATTAGAAAACAATTTATTCTGGTTGTTTTACAGTGCAATGTTTTTAAGCTTTTTGTGTCCATAAGTGACATGAGTTTGATGCTCATTAATTGGAAACTGGACTTTTTCTTGTATAAACATTTTTGTGTTTATATGTTTGAGCATTTCAAGGAAGTAAACGTTGCTCCTATTTTGAGACTTAAAATTATTCTTACCAGGATTATTTTATGTATATTTCAGGGATGTAAAGTTTTAAAGTATAGTTTTGAATATCATTTTAAAACAGTTGCTACAAAAGCGAATTGTAGACTTAAGTGTGCCTAATACAAGATATTTACTAATGAAATACCTTTGGTATTTTAATATTCTGTAGTATTCTATATCACTTATTGTTAGTACTCAGAAGTCTTGTGAATTTCAAAAGCTTTGATCACATTTCCTAAAATAGTCTTCTTCTGATGAAAATGCACTTCTTTGTTATTTTGTTACTATAACTTATAGTAACATTTTTGCCGTTTTCTAGATCTTCTCTGTAAGTTTTCTTCTTTGCAATATGGTTCCCAGGTGCCCCAAAACTTGCTATGTATAATGCTTCTGTTTGCAAACAATTTAGTTTGCAAACCAAAGCATTCAGCAAAATTTTGCTTCTATTCGCAAATTCCACATCAGGTGACAGACATGACCACAGCTACCTTCCCCACACAAACACAAATGCATAACCTTCCCCCAAATCATAAAAGAAATAAAGTTCATAAATGGAGGTACCACTGTATAGGGGTGTGAAGAAGTGTCTGCCTTCAGATGGTTTGGTGATTGAGTCTATGAAATAAACAGCAGAGAGATTAATAAAAAAAATTTTAATTATGAGCATATGTTCAGGAGTTTCACAAATTCAAGACTCAAAGAAGGGCCAGACAATGGGAGCTTTTATAGCATCCTGAGTGCAGACAGGAGCAGAGGCCTGGCACTGCTCCTAGGTTTGGGGGCAGCAGGTCCCAGAGAAAGAGGGGAAGTATATGGTGAATAAAAGTGGTCTATTATGCAGATTAAAAGCCTCTAAGGGGGCCAGGGATTTAACTCAGTGGTTCCTCTGCCTGTTGCAAGTGCAAGGTCCTGAGTTTGATCCCTGGTACCAAAAAAAATAAAAAACATCTCAGGAACACAAGTTCTGTGGCTGAAGAACTGGATCCCCTGTCAATCCATTCCTGTGAGGCTCTGTGCTCTGTCAGCAGAGGGGATTTCTGAGCAGCTGTGCCTCCTCCCTGAGTCCCCTGTCCCTCTAGTGCTCCTAGTTTGCAGTAATCAGGAACCAGAGCTGCATATTTTGGATGACAGTTCTGTCACCAACTTCTTCACCCTAAAAGCAAGACTACTTCTGTAATCAGCCTTTATGGTGTGTGAGATTACACACTAAGCAAATTTTGAATAAGGCAGGGAGATTAACTCTTTACTTTATTAATATTCTTCTCTCATTCCCTAAAAATCTTGGGGTTAGACCTGAGAGTCCATAAATAAAGTATTGATTTAATACCTACTAGTTTTATATTTTGCTAAGTAGAGGGACTAAAGCATGCTTTAGGTGTCAGACAGGATAGCCCCTATGAAATAAATTCCCCTCTGTAATAACTCAGATAGAAAACAGAAAAAAAGAGTTACTGTCCTCTCACTGGTTTTTCCTGTCTGAGGTACTTGTAGAGTAGTAAGTACACTCTGCAGCTGGTCACTTGTAAAGGTGGGTGTGGTAAGTCTCTTTACAGACATTAAATGCTCGCTTGGTTTTGGTGTATATTGTATGGTGCTGGGGACTGAACCAAGCCCTCACCCATTCTAGGCAAGCATTATGGCTGAGCCACACATCCAGCCCCTGCCTACTATTTTTAATGCCTACTAAGAACAGATGGTATGCTTTGCTAGTTATACTATATTCATCTCTCCTTCTCACAGTACTTTTTTTTAGGGACTCCCTATGTTGCCCAGGCTGG